TTTGTCTTGAAAGGTACATTTGACTTTAGAGAGCCTTAGTAGGTGTGGACCAGAGTAGAATCTGGCTGCTTTGGACAGCTGGAAGTACACTACTGTAGGAGTTTTCCAACTTTTTTGAGCAGATTCATAGTAAGAAATACATTTTTCTTCCTGACCCAGCACACACACAGCATACACATAATAACTGAAACATAAGTTTCATGAAAGAGTGTATGTGCAATACACTCTGATATTTTCTAGTCTATGTTAAAACGAAATGAAACAAAAACAAAATGTCAGGTCGCTTAGGATCCACTACTAAGTCCTAATTTTTAAAAATGCTGCACCAGGGCACAGTGATTGAGAGAGCTGGCTGGGAAATCAAATGGTTTACATTCAAATGGGAGCGCCTCCACTTACGGCTGTGTGCCTAGCGTCAGTTAATTAACCTTTCTAAACGTTAAGGTCCTCAACTGTAAACCCTGGATAAGCTACTTCATAGGATTTTTGTGGGAATGAGATAATGAGCACTTATGATCACTTTTATTAGGCTGATTCTGGGTTCAAGAAAGCCTCTAAGGTTTCCAAAATTGTTCAGCCCAGTACCCCAAGAATATTAATCAGTCCATACATTTGTATAGTAAAAATCTCCTTGGCTAAAAGCCTCCATCTGGTTTCCCATCACCTGTGCACACTGTGGACTAAAACTTGGGCCTCTGAATGTGGCACCTAAGGCCACTACAGCCTGGACCATGCCTCATCTTTGGCCCTTGCCCTCACATCTCTGAATAGCCTAGTCCCCAAACTCGATGTCCCTTGATTCTGAACAAATAATGTCTTCTGATGTGTCTTTGTCTTGGATCATGCAGTCGTCTTCTGAAATGCCTCTCCCTCTTTCCTTTTTGCCTAAACAACACTGACACTGGCCTCAAGATCAAGTTCAAGGGCACCTTCAGTGCATACAGCCTTTCCTGGCTCCCCAGTTAGAATCATTGACTCCCTCCTGCGAGCTTCAGCCTAAGGGCACATCTCTACCATAGCACTTGAGTACATTCAGGAAGGGCTGACTCCCGTTTGCTTGTCTCTCCCCCAATCCTGTCCCAATACTTAATGAAGAAAAAAGGGATAACTAAGATAAATGTTTAACATCTTTGGAAAGCAGACATTATACAACTCCAAAATAATCTTAATATAATTAAATAACCATTACTTAATATGAGAATTTCACACACACTTCTGACATGGATTCGGGCTCATTTCCATCCTTGCAATTTGGCTGTTTTTTTCAGACATACATTGAATCTGAGATGCTTGTGTGTCTCTTTGTTTTATTTTGTTTTTAATCTCGGAAATGTAGTGCTGAGACTAAGCCGTTGATGGGGTGTGATGGGAGAACAATGAACATAAATTCTTTTGCAAACAAGTAAAATATTAAATATATGAATTGCAGCTGCTGTAGGGCTGTTTGTCTTATGACATTCCTGATGGGCCTGTTCCAGATGCAGTTTTAGCAAGAGGAGGCAGGACAATTTGTTAGGCCTCGGTATGGAACAGATAGATCAGCTCAACTTTCTGGGAATTGCTCTGCTGTGCCATGTCCTGTGTAGCAATTGTGAAACTGCTTTGAACGAGATGGGTGTAGGCCCCTCTCTCTATGTTTTAGATCAGGATTTTTTCTTGGTCAAAGCCAAAGAGAAAGGGGAAAAGGTGAAGGGAGGGTCAAGAGGCTTGTCATGGGAATTGGAACATCTCTGTCCTAATTTCTCCATCTGGAAATAGAGGGGAAAGGTTTCTGTGGTGTGTTCCTGACTGACCTTGGAGGAGGTGATCACTCTTACTTTGGAAAGTCTAGTGTGTTTCCATCCCTAGAACCAGGAGGAAAGCTCCAATGTTCTAGTGGCCATGCTATCTAGGCTGAAGTTCAGGTGTTCCTGAGACTGCCTACCCACCCCCAAATGTTTCCTGCATATTTGAGCATCCTACACAAAAGGATGAAAACATTTTCTCCTAAGATCGAAATGCAAAGCTAAACTTGGGATCTAGGTCATTGGTTAGCCTACTTTAAGCACTGCATCCATTCCAGCCCTTTCAGTCACCCTCACTCTCATTCGCAACACCCTGGCAATTAAAAACCTTTGGCAACTTTACCCACTAAATTTTTATTATCCCTTCTTGGTATCCTACTGTCTGTGAGTGTAGTTTAAGCCCTTATTGTATAGCCTGAAATTATTCAACTGGTCCTGCTGCTACTCAAGTCCCCCTTCAATCAGTTGCTACACAGTGCCAGAGCGATTGCTCTAAAATGCAAATATGTCCCTTTCACTCTTAAAATCCGTTAAGAACTCCATAACATTACAGGAAACATTCTAATCACCCTAGTGTGGCATGCAAGACTTTCCATGTTCTGGTTCTGCAACCTCGCAGGCTCACATTTTGCCCTCCACCTATACTAGCTGCTTATGATCTCCCAGAATTTTCCAGCCTTTGTTTCTGTGCTCTTGTGATTTCCTCAGGGCAATGCCTTCCATCAACACTCAGATCAGCTGTGCCTTCTTATAGGAAGCCGTCCTGACCTCTCCCCTCCTCCAACTACTCTTGGCCAATGGCTCTTCCCTTGTATTCATCTAGAACACTCTGCTTATCACTATCATGATATTTGTCACTTAGTTCTTAGTTCTCTTTAGGAATTTATCTTTTCACCATAGGGTGTGTGTATAGTGGGAATCCAAGAAATGGTTATTAAATTTAACTAAATTGATTTTGATCTTTTAGAACTTCCAATAGTGTCAAGCTTTTTCCTGCATCAAGGTCTTTGCATAATTAGTTCTGCCTGGAATAATCTTCTCCCCACATTCTCCTTATTTCCTACATAGCACATACTACAATTTCAGAATATTTATGAAGGTAATACAACTAGTGGTTAACAGCCCAGGCACTGATATCAGATTGCCTAATTTCAAAATGCAAAATGGGTAAACTTAAGCAATTTTCTCACTTTGTGTGTGTATATGTACATGCCTCAGTTCCTTATTTGTAAAATGGGGCTAATAATCCTGGTTATGAGGATTAAGTTAAATAAGATAATATGTGCTAAACAGACTTGTGCCTGGCATGTAGCTAACAGTTATTGCTCTCTACTTTTTCTTTTTGTGAGGAAGATCAGCCCTGAGCTAACATCCATGCCAATCCTCCTCTTTTTACTGAGGAAAACTGGCCCTGGGCTAACACCTGTGCCCATCTTCCTCTACTTTATATGGGACGCAGCCACAGCACTGCCTGACAAGCAGTGCATCGGTGCGTGCCCGGGATCTGAACCCCGGGCCGCCACCAGCGGAGCGCGAGCACTTAACTGCTACGCCATGGGGCCGGCCCCTATTGCTCTCTACTTTTAAAACATTTAAAAAATTTTTTGAATGTCATTTCACTGTAAACCCCAAGAACGCAGGGGCTCTGATATTGTCTTCACTATTGTATCCCGGTGCCTAGCATGGCATACAGTAAGTGCAAAATAAATTCGTGTGACTAAATAAATAAATCTGAATGACTGAATAAATGATGACACTTACTTTAAAGTATTAACTGAAGATAAGTAGGGAACTGTGACTGCTTATCAGAGTGTTCAGAAGCCATACCAGTCGCCTTCTTTAATCAACAATTAACTTCCTAACTCTTGTATTCACTTGGCTACATAACCAAGCAACTCTTTTTTTCTTTAGTTTAAATGAAAACACTGGGGTGAAAGATGAGTGGAGTCATTCTTGGCTTTTCATTAACAGAACATGGGCTCTTATTTACTTCATTCAGAACTGAGAGTATCATGTCTAGGACTGACTAAGAAGTTGTTGGAATAAATATGCTCAGGTTAAGGTGACCTTGTTCTACAGAGAGCAGAGAGAGTCTTAGGATGACGTACTATGAGAACAAAATGACAAACAGTATCAAAATAACAAGGCAATGTAGGCAGTTATTTAAGCAGGTTAACCTCCAAAATGATCCTGAAATTTATTTTCAGTGAAAACCTTAGCTTCCCCCAGCACAAACCATCTTATAAAATTAGTGGTATAGACGGAGGAGAGGAAAGGAGAACTTTTCACTTTTTAGTAGGGAAAGAAGTAAAGCTCTGAAAAAGAAGGAAAGTCTAAAGTCAGCTTCCCTAAGTTATAGATTTTTTAAAATCACAAAACTTTGAACAAAAAGTTAAAAAAAAAAAAAAGTCAGTGGGTAAAGGGAGTGAAAATACTTATGCTAGAAAACGTACGTTGAAGAAAGTTACAGTGGCTGAAAGCAGCCAAGGCAGAAAAGATGATAACCGTAGGTTACTTAGTTCTCACTCTCTAATAAAGGCCAGCCCAGTGGATCATCAGGAGCAGCATGCTACAAGTTCTGTTCACACTGCCAAAAGCTTATAAAAACCAGTGGACTATCATGGCGGCCCTCCCTAACCTGAACACTGAAGACCCAGGGACAGCTCCTTTATTTTCCAACTCTAGAACTACTATCAGTTCTTTTGCTGGCCAATTATATATGTGTTAAACATTCATTCATGTCCTGTACTTGTTCCTTTGTATCATATATTTATCATATTACACAATCTTAAAGCTCGGAAGTCATGGCTTTGTGCAAAGCTTAAGCATAGGCATATGGTAATGGTTTCAGAGGAGAAGGAGGGGCAGGCTTCCTAGTATAGGTATAGTTCTGGCTACTGGACTAGAGAATCAAGCTACTGCATCTTAGTCCTCTTCTTTGGAAAGACACTAATCATGCAGATTCCCTCCTTGGGCAAATGATAGATGGCTTTCTAGTAGTTCTTGCTTACCCAAAGAACACAGAATCTCTTATCCTCACAACCCAAATACCCTTTCTTTACAGTTTTGTATGTAGAGTCTTTCAGCTATAAGCCGGATGAGAAAGCAATTCTAGCCCTTTCTGACCCAACAAGAAAGAATGGAGGACTGAGGAAAGGCAAATGCAGGAGGCCAAGAAGAGAGGAGGAGGGAGGCTCTAGCCCGGTGTGTACTTACCACATTTTGTTTCCCTTCATTATCGGTGAGCAGCCATTCGATATCCAGGGTGTCTTTTTCTGGAAGCCCCAGTTGATGGTGACAGGGCAAAGTGACCTTTTCTTCTGCCACTCTCTTGATCTCAGTGTGAGTCCCCAAGGTTCCAACATAGTAGGAAACTGGAAGAGGAAAACCTCTAATGAGTAATGCAGTGTGTGGGAAGCAAATATTACAACTAATAGTTATTGGATGTTCCTGCAGGCAAGGGGTAAGTCAAGGTGTTGGAAGAAGCCTAGACAAGCAGTGCCAGAAGTCCCAGGGTCTCACTCTGGCTCCTCCATTAAACTGAATTAATCATGTCTTCCTTAACCCTCTGAATTACACTCCTACTAATGCCTGTCTTTCCTACCTTGCTGGGTTTTTATGAACCATGAAATCACTCAGGTCAACAACAACTGTCTTTTGATCTTTCTGTCTCCCACTAACAGAGGCTTCTAAAAGGATGGAAACCAAAAGGGAAGGCAGAGCTTGGCATCCTCCCCAGAACAGGCTCCAGATACCAGTTTACTCCTTAGAGCCTTCTTAGAGATAGGTTTCCCTCCCAGACCTCTGAGTAAGTGCAGGAATGCCTCCAGGAACAAGGGGGCTCATATAGGCATTTTCTGCTTCCCTTAGGGATACACATTCTCTTATCCCCCCAACTTCTATCTCTCATTCTTTATTGTTTTATATCATATGGCTTTAAAATTTGCAGTAGCTCTTTCTATCAAAAACGAAATTCTGAGTTACCACATTTGGATCCTGTCTCTCCATCCATCTGTTATCCCTTTGACCAATAGGAATTCTGTTCCACTTTTGGCTTTCTTTACCTCTAACTTTCATCTTTTTCCAGGAATGGTATTCTGTCAGCAACTTTGGGCTCCAAGCTCACCCTCTCTCCTTCCTATTAATCTCTCTTCATTTCTGACTAAGGCTCTGACATTGTTGACTGTTAAATCTACAGTAGTGATGACTGATGAACTGATGAAACCTCACTGGATTCTAGGGATGATGTGTCTGGCATTCAAGGTGTGCGTTAGCTCTGGATCCTCCTTTATTTCCTTACACAGTAATAAAGAAGCTCAGCATGAAAATGATCTCTTTCAAGCCATTCACGAGGTAACAGAGTCATACAATCTCCAGGTTGGAAGAGCCCCAAGTGCCAGGGCTTGTGTGAAGTCCTCTCTCCTGGAGAGAACTCACTCTGCCACTTCAGAGGGTGTTAAGCAGGGAAGACCAAGGATCATGACTAACAGAAGCATATAAGCCACCTCTTTTATTCCCTGTTCATTTCCCAAAAGTGAATAGCAGCAAGTCTGTGGGAAGGAAAAGGGCCTGTATTCTTGCCTGCAGGGAAATGAAAGGAGGAAGAAGGGAGCAGGGGAGACTGTGGTTCTCTCTGCAGGGGGGCTGATTGGGCTGAAACTGCAGGGTTAGAGCCCTCAGAGGCATCCACCCTAAGAGAAGCAGCAGGTGGATTCCCAAGCTCCCTGGCAAAGAAAGGAGACTATAGAAATCTGCTGGCCTAAGGAGGGGCCTTCACAGCCAACAGGATAAACCCCTTGTAGGGTCTTAACTGACATTCTCAAGAAAGTTTCTGTTATTTCTGTTTAGAACTTGAAACTGCAATGGGAGTGGCCACCATTTAGTTACCACTTCCTGTAGTTTGGCTCTTCACTGAGCACTTAACCCTATGAGGAAAGGATTATTATCCAGATTTATTGAGGAACTTTAAAGAGGAGATTAGTGGGGCCGGCCCTGTGGCTTAGCGGTTAAGTGCGTGCTCTCTGATGCTGGCGGCCCGGGTTCGGATCCCGGGCGCACACCGGCGCACCGCTTCTCCGGCCACGCTGAGGCTGCATCCCACATATGGCAACTAGAAGGCTGTGCAACTATGACATACAACTATCTACTGGGGCTTTGGGGGGAAAATAAATAAATAAATCTTTAAAGAGGAGATTAGTAACTTGCCCAAGATCACAAAACTCGGAAGTGACAGAGCAGGGGCTCCACCCAGATCTGTCTCACTGCAAAGCTCACACTCTGACAGGCATGCTATGCTGCTCATGCCCTGTGTTTTATGTGGCTTCCCAGATGTCTAGTTCTCCCATTAGCCTGTGAACTCTTCAAGATTAGGTGTCATTCACCACTGCATTCCCAAAGCACTCAGCCCGGTGTCTTACACACTGCAGGTGCCCAATAAATATTTGTTGGATTGATTTGAATCGAACCCATACACTCATTTTACCAACGAGCAAACTGAGGCCCAGGGATAAAAGAGCCAGCCTATGGTCCTACCACTCATTTAGTGGCTGAAATAACCTATATAAAACCCATTCTCCCTCAGTCCCCATAAAGCAACTATAGAGCAGCAGGGAAATTAGGAGTTTGCACTGAACTAAGCTAAGCGTATAAGAAGGAGCTCTGGCTTCTCTCTCTGATCACTTTCCACTGGACACAACAATGCTCAAATGAAACCAGTGCTCCAGACCCCAAGCAAAGCTAGCAAACCCAGCACCAATTTGATGCTTACAGTGGGCACTTAACTACACATTGAATAAAGAAAAGCAAAGAATCAGCTATGAAAGTTGCCGATTTGAGCCACTAGAGGGAATCAAAGCCTCAGATTGGGTTGCTATCCCAAAAGGAAAGGAACACAGTGGTGGGTGGTGTGCTTTGCCAGAGCACCAAGTTCTATTTATACCACATCCAGAATTAAATACAGCATTGCAGGGAGGGGGGCACTCAATGAATAAAAATGACTTCACTGAAGCAGGGAGCCTCAAGATCAGAGTGCACGCACCTCTAGTCTTCCTTGAACCTTAGCCCCCTAGACTGCAGGAGGCCATGGGGATCCCAGCAGATTTCTCAGGTCCTTCTGTGCTTTTTTTTACCCACACCCGTGTTCCATAGCCTAAGTGGACAGGGGCCTGGGCTCTTTGTATAACTCCCAGGCTTGGCAGTGCGTGTGGGGGCTGCTGAGCATGTGTCTGCCGCCTGGCGGGTGAGTGAAAGGGGCAATCCACTCAGCGGCTAGCCCTGGGTTCCCTGGGTATTGAAGGAGTCATCTTCCTTAAGAAAGACCTTCGAGATCCCCACAATTTAACTTAAGAGGAAACTGCAGCCTGGAGAATTGAAATGTCAATCACAAGCTAGTTAGTGGCAGAACTGCAGGTAAGGGAATAGTCTCCCCTGGGTGTCTGGGACTCTTACAGCATTTGACAATGAGGAGAGGTGCTGGAAGGTGCCAGTGGTGAGGACCGCCTCCGTGTTGTGTGCAAAATGCAGTCATGGAAGCCTAGGGCTCTCCGTAAGTGGAGGCTTCCGCATGCAACTCAGGCACTTAACAAAGGACCTTTGGGAGCTTGGGAGAATTACCCTCTCTGAGATTTAGTGTTCTCATCTGCAAAATGGGAATTAAGTGAGACACTGAGGTAAAGCGCCTAGTGATGGCACATAGGAGTCTCCCCCTAAAATGCTCTTCTGTACTAGAAGAAGGGGCTTTTTCTGAGATCACTGCTGTCTACATTCAGTTAAGATTAGTTTGTGGTGGGGCCGGCCTGGTGGCGCAGCAGTTATGTGCGTGCACTCCGCTTCAGTGGCCCGTGGGTTTGCAGGTTTGGATCCCAGGTGCATCCCGGGTGTGCACCGATGCACCGCTTGTCAAGCCATGCTGTGGTGGCGTCCTATATAAAGTAGAGGAAGATGGGCACGGATATTAGCCCAGGGCCAATCTTCCTCAGCAAACAGAGGAGGATCGGCATCGGATGTTAGCTCAGGGCTGATCTTCCTCACACACACAAACAAAAAGTTTGTGGTTTTATTTTCTAAAGGGCATTTACATTTATTAAAGATTCTCATGAACCTTCAAGCCCTCCTGCAAAGAGATGGGTTAGAGGTAACTTTTTTCCCAACGTGAATACTTTTATATAACTGAGGGAAACTAAGCCACATATTTTGAAGATGAATCTATTGAGAAGATAATAGTAAAATTTTTAAAGGCAATTTCTATGACCAATTGACTATTCATTGACATTAAAACACTCACAATTGAAGTCTTTTTAAAAAATTTTATGTACAAAGCCAGGCGTAACTTTTAATAGAAACTAGGATGTTGCATTTAAAATATCTATTTGTCTCTTATTTCCCCGACAGAGAATTCTTCTGCGTCTCAAATACTTACTGAAGGCCTACAGGGCACAGGCTGCCTGGGGTCTCATAGTTAAGTCTGCATGCTTACTCTCCAAAGAGATCCAAAGAATGGATCCTCCAGTGCTACCTTCATCAACACAGGCACACAACATTCCCCAAGGCCCCATCTAGGAGAGGCCACAGTGCTTGGTGCACAGGTTGAGAACAAGTGGGTTCTTCCTTTACAATTGAGTTGTTGGTTACCAGGCTGTGTAGACATGCAGTTGAAAAGTAACAAAGTTAGAGAGCTATAGTAGTGAGTGTCCCATGTTAGGTTCAGGAGCTGTGCCATTGACACTTTTTAAGGTACAGCAGGGCACCCGCTAATGGGCAGTTGAGGCATGCAGGCACCTTCTTCTACTCAGTGATTGTGCTTTTCTCAATGGACTTGTCCTCTTACCTGAATGGGAAGAGAATTTTCTTGTTTTGCTTTACACAGAATATTTGAGAAAGTGTCGGGGAAATCAAAATCACTGAATGTCAGTCAGAAAAATAAAAAGGACTTTGGAAATTTTAAATCAACTTCTCTCACTTTATGGATCAAGAAATTGAGGCTGAGAGAGAAGTGACTCACCCAACGGCCTCCTGATTTCTATGCTAATATATATAAAATTCTGTAGAGGTGTGTGTGTGTGTGTGTGTGTGCGTGCATGCAGACATGTACCTTCCAGACTGTTTCTGGAATACTGTATGCAATTCAAGATACAGCATGATGCAATGGAAAGAGCATGGACTTTGGTGTCAGATAGATATGGATTTAAGTAGTGGCCACAAGACCAACTAATTCCCTGACTACTCTGAGTCTTTCTTCTTCTCTCTAAAATGAGCATAAAAACATCAACCGTGAGAGATTGTTGTAAGGATTATATATGATATATGTAAAATGCCAGGCACTGGCACATGGTATACAGTACATACGCAACAAATGGTAATTACTATTAATAATAAT